GTATAACGTTCAAAGATTGCAATGCTATCGTCGCCGCTTTGCGCCGCGGCCTTATTTTAAATATTTCATCGCATTCTTATGGGCCTCTACTTAGCGCCCTACGTCTATTTAAATAATGCAAGACCACCGGATCGTATCATTCAACGCGGAATGATGAAAAACAGATTATAATATAGATGTTAGCCTATTTTAGCCATATATAGATCTTGATCTGGTATGCATGTATCTGTGTTCGCCATGTATCTCCTGATAAATGATCATTATCAATTCTTTTATATCTCACCAGTAACGATATATGCCTTACGAGAATAGTGTGAGAAACGGTGGGCAAGCGCCATCTCTTCCTGATGGCTAACAGTTAACCCACGCAATGGTGCCTACATCCTATTGCCTCGTATTGGTCCTCTTATTTGATCGGCTGGGTTTGTATCCGAGGATATCTCAACACTTACGCTTAGCCGTGTACATCTCTTGCTCTTCCTTGCCGCTGCGCATCGCAAGGTGCCGGTGCCACCTCTTTAGGTCAACTACGTCCAACAACAACAGGAACTGCATACTGCAAGCAAGTACGATCGAGAACTTGCCGCTTCGTCGAGCATCCGTGATCCCCACCTGTTCCCTGCTTTCCTTCAGCAGATCGACGAGCACGGATACTGACCGGAATGATGCAGGTGTGTGCTGTAGTCACGCGTCATACAGAGAGAGGCGCGGAGAGGGAGAGGGAGAGATAGAGAGCAGAGAGAAGAGAGAGCAAGGGAAGGGCGCGGTGAGAGAGGAAATGAGATAGAGGCGAGAAGATAGAGAGATTAGGAGAACGAGAGGGAGAAAGGGGCAGAGATGAGGCGAGAGAAGATGAGGAGACAGAGAGGAGAGAGAGAGACGAGAGAGAAGAGAGACAATGAGGGGAGAGAGATGAAAAGAGAGATTAGAGTACGAGAGAGACGATGAGATGAGCACAGAGGACAGAGAGAGAGAGAGAGGAGAGGAGTGAGCAGAGAGGAGAGAGAGCAGCGGTGCAAGACGAGAGGAGAGCAGGGAGATAGAGAGAGAGAGAGGAGCAGAGAAGAGAGAGGAGAGAGACGCAGAGTGAGAGAGACGAGAGAGGGGATAGAGAGAGAGAGATAGCAGATAGAGCGATAGCAGAGACAAGAGAAAAAACGAGAGAGAGCGAGTAAGAGAGATGAGCAGAGGGAGAGAGACGGCAGAAGAGAAATAGAGAGATAGAGAACGACGAGAGAGCCGGGCGAGAGAGGGGAGAGAGATAGACGATTTAGAGAGAGGGAAGAAGGGAGAGGAAGGGGGAGCGCGCGGGGGCGCGGAGGAGCGTGATAGAAGGATGAGAGAAAGATCGAGACGAGCAGAAGAGAGAGCATGAGGGGGAGACGTGGAGGGGAGCGAGCGAGAGGAAAGAGGGCGAGCGAAGAGCGGAGGCGAGGATGAGGAGAGACTGAGATAGAGAGGCGAGAGAGAGAGTAAGAGCTTGGCAGCAGGAAGGCCAGAGGAGAGGAGAGGACTGAGAGGAGAAGAGAGAGACAGAAGATAAGAGAGAGAAAGAAGAGAGAGGGGCGGGAGTACGTGGTTAAGCGAAGGAGAAAGTGTGTACGAGGAAGGATATGGTGAAGGTACGTGGCCGGGAGCGAAAGACAGATGACTCCCGTCGTGCGAGAGAGGTGACGAGAGAAAAAACAACAATGTCCGTGCGAAAAGGGAGCGGGAGGAGATTGATAGGAAAGAGCTCACGAGACAAGACGGAGAAAGGCGAGAAAGCTGAAAAAAAAACAGAGCAGGAGGAGCGGAGAGGAGAGAGAAGGAGCGCAGAGTGCAAAGAAGCAACTCGAGAGAGAGAGGGGGAGAAGGGGAGAATGAAAGGGTAGGCAAAACGGTGAGAGAGCAGCGAGCGAGGGAGTGAGCGTAGAAAGAATCGCGAAAGGACGAGCGAGAGAAGGAAAGATGATATGAAGCGAGATAGCAGAGGGGAAAGAGTGAGCAAGAAACGAGAGAGCGATCGCTGGCGCACAGAGCTAAAAGGAAAATGTGCCGGAAGTGCTGCGCAAATGCAGTAAGCTCACGCGCCCCACCTATAACGCCATTTTCATTATACATTTACGATATAATGATGGATTGGATTCATAATTACGTATAAGTACTTTAATGTATTGCTGGCTCCAGACAAGCTGAACCGTGCCGCCTGCACAAAAATATTATTTATTTAAACTGAATATCGATCACGATTACTAATTATGTAATTAGCAGTGATTATAGTTATTATATATGTAGCATATCGAGTGCAATGAGAGGCCGATGTTATTTAGTATATCTCTAGTAGAATTCATGCATTATTATTGTTATACCTGCCCACGAATATATTTAAAGGTAAAAACCAACTGGTGAATTAATCTGACGATATGATGCCCCGATATTACACGCGCACCGATGCTCTATGGTTACCAGTCGTCGATCTTGGGATAACTTCGCTGACGACTTCATTTCAGAATATAATCTAGATAATATATAATAAATCAATAAATTAAAATATACTAATAATTATTGATTATTATTATTATTTATTAATTTATTATGTATTTTTACCTCTTAGATATTATCAACTTATCATTATATTATTTAGATATTCTTAGAGATTAGACATTATAAGAGTTATATAATTCTAGATTATCTCCGCCCATACACGATCTGTGTCTGCTGCTGGTGAAGCACATAGATGGGCCATTCCATATAATATAATAATAATGAGACAATGAGACAAATAATTATAATATGTTTTGAACTTTTTACCTCTTGATATAATTAGCTGGGATTATTATGTATTGCACACGATGTTTCCGCAGCATACACGATCTGTTTCTGCTGCCGGTGAAGCACATAGATGAGCTTCATCTTCTCGTGGCTAGCCTCATACGATACACGCCCCAACGAACCGACCTAGATATCGAGCAGTTACGCGCTGGCCGGTACGCCAGCACTACAAGACAGCCAGACTTCGACTGGCTGAGGTAAGGAGCAGTACTAATTACGCGTGATTACACTGACGCAATACGTATACATGTTACGATACATGTATGACTACACCCCCGCTCGCGAGTGTACGTACATGACGTCATTACGTCGATACATGTACGGATACTATGTATGCGTTGTACGTACACTGACGTCACACTACGTGCCATACATTGTACGATACTATGCTATGCCGTGTACATACGTCACATACGTGCATACATGTACGAAATATATTACGGTGTACATGATCGTCACATACGCTTGTACATGTACGATACTATGTATGCCGTGGTAACTATGACGCTCACATACGCTACTACATCTACCGTACTTGTATGCGTGTACATGACGACACCATCGTGATACATGTACGATACTAATGTATGGTGTTCACATGACGGACACATTACGGTGATACATGTACGATACTATGTATGGTGTACGTCAGCATGACGCTCACATACGCTGATACATGTACGCGATACTATGTAATGCGGGTACATGACGTCCACATTACTGAACATGTACGATACTATGTACTGCGATGTGCGTACATGACGTCACATTACGCTGAATACATGTCACGATACTCATGTTATCGCGGTGTACGTACATGACGTCACATACGTGATAACATGTACTATATGTATGCGTGTTACGTAATATGACTCAGATACGTGATACATGTACGATACTATGTATGCGTGTACATGACGTCACATACGTGTACATGTCGATACTTATGTATCGTGTACATGACGGTCACAAGCGTCACATACGTGATACATGTACGATACTATGTATGCGTGTACGACGATACATTAATGTTAACGGGTGTTTGCCAGCGTGTAGACAAGCAGTGTAACCCAGAAAACTTAACATATATGTAACAGAGAGGACGTTGTCGGAAAAACATCACGAGT